AGCACTTTATTTGATTTAATATGCACTAAAAATATTTACTTCTTAGAGAATTATGTCAAATAATTTTCTGAGTAGTTTACAGCCTGAACCACTTAGCTGAATTTTTTAAAAAGGTAAACGATTTGCTACAAATCTGCTGACATTTGAAAAATATCGAATGGAAAATTCTTCTGTTTTGGTCACTTAAAACATTTAATAAATAATTAGAAATACACAAAAATTTAACAGTATATAGTAGGGGTAAAATTGACCTGGGCATACACCTTGCTGTTTATCTCATCATTATGGGTGAACACAAAGATTGCTTCCTGTATTCATCCAGCACAGCTACTGAGGCACAGCTAGCTATATATATATATTGTTATGTTAAAGTACATACTTTCATTAGAAAATATGGTAGGGGAGTTTTTTACCTACCCATAATGCCCCTAGGGTGCTTTTGCACAGCAAAAGAAACCGACAGAGCGAAGAGACAACCCACAGAATGGGAAAAACTTTTTACTACTCCTCAGATGAAGGACTTATATCTAGAATATATAAATATTTTTTTAAAAATGAGACACTTCAAAACAAAAGACCCAATCAAAAATGGGCAACTCATAGGAATAGACACTTCTCAGAAGTACAAATGGCCCATAATTACATGAAAAAATGTTAAACATCACTGACCATCAGAGAAAGGCAAATTAAAACAACAGCAAGATTCCATTTTACTCTAGAAAGAATGGCTATTATCAAGAAATGAAATAATAACAAATGCTGGCAAGGCTGTGGGGAAAAAGAAACTCTTCTACACTGTTGGTGAGAAGGTAAACACACACAACAAAAGGGTCACTCTGTCCTTCATGGGCTTATGCTCCAGCAGTGCCTTTTCCTCCTGTGAGATATAGGTTTTGTTTGGCATCTTCTTCCAGAAGAGCTGTGTTTCATTGTAGCTGAACACTTGTTGAGTGACATATCCTTCTGCCTTCATGAATTCTGCAAATTCTTTCTTGTAGGTTTGTGCAGTGGCCTTGTCAGAACTGGAAGCCTCACCATGTCTTATCACACTGTGGATCCATTTGCTAAGACAAACATTTTTTCATCTACTTATTGGTTATTTGTAGCTTTTATTTATTTATTTTTTTGGTGCTGGGGATCAAACTCAGGACCTTGCGCTTGTGAGGCAGGGGTGGCAACACTGAGCTAAATCTCCTAGCTTTTTATTTTCTTTGCAGTACTAGGGATTGAACCCAGGGCCTTTGCACTGAGCTACATCGCCAGCCCTTTTTATTTTTTATTTTGAGAGAGTGCCTCACTAAGTCACTAAATTGCCTTGACTGGGCTGGAACTTGAAATCCTCCTGCCTCAGCTTCCCAGAATGCTGGAATTATGTATAGGCATATACCACCATGACCAGTTTGTAGCTTTTTTTTTTTTTGGTACTGGGGAGCGAACTTGGGTTCTTGCGCAAAACCACTGAGCTAAATCCGCAGCCTGCTTATTTTTAATATACATTTTTGTTTCCCTGTTTTATGATACAGTGAGACATGAATCATTTGAAGAATATGCTCATATTGGGTGTGTATCACTAAAAAGTTGTAAGTTGTACACTCATAAGGTAAGCTGAATCAGAAACAAAAAAGATAGGCTCAGTTACTGGAAAAATACCTGCAGGAGATAGAAGAATTGGAGTGAGAAGCTGAAAGGAAAGTAACAGGGCAAAGCAGCTTTGCTGTACCTTCCAATGAACAAGATGATAAATACCTAATGTCCAGAGGTGAAACGAAAAGCAGCAGGATTAGAGGAGACAGCTGAGGAAGAGACCAAAAGGTACAGCAGTGAAGCTGAAGACCAGAAGGAGAAAGAAGATGCTGAGAAAGAAACTGTTGAGAAAGATAAAAATGATGTTGAATGAGAAGTCGGGAACACAGACCCTACTTGGATCGAGTCACCCAGAACCAAAGGCCGTGTTGAGAATGGCCTGTTCTCCTCACCTGGCCAATGCCTTAGGTGTCCTTGGTTGAATTCTTAGCAAATTCTACAAAAACACCATTCTGAGCTAGCAAATGTTTCCCAGAAGTCCTAAGAAGAAACGCTCATTCTTTAACAGGATTACAAATGAGCTTCCTCCTTAGACCTTTATTTTGCTGTGAGGTACTGTGGTTTGACATTTTGCTTTGTCTGCTGGGATCCTGGGAAGGATAGTCTTGTCTTCAGCTAAGTCGTTTACTGGCCATTCGGGAAACAATATGTCTGTAAGCATTATTTCTTGGTGGTATTCAAATGATTTTTTTAAAAATGAAAAATACTTTCCCCTTTGTGTTTTGGCGGGTTCTGTAAGTGCTCATGATAAAATATTTTAGCTGAGTGCTATATAATTTACAATCTTAAGAAATTCTCAAGTTGGAACCAAGAAATAGCAAGGAAATGTACAATTTTATCTTCTGGCAAAGGGACATCATTTCTGTATTATAGTGCATGTAAATGCACCCTTGTAAATGTTAATTTTCATTAAATGTGGGATGGGGACTCAAATTTCAGAAAAGTACCAAGAGTCCTGAGAGCTTTGGAGCCTAAACTGCACAGAGCAGATTTTCACAGCTCCAAGGAGCTTTGTAGTTTTCATTCCATAGCAGTCCATTTATATTGGATTTATTGATTTATTTATGAGATAAAGTCTCACCATCTAGTTCAGGCTGGCCTTAAACTCATTATGTAGTCCAGATTAGATTCCACCTCTTGGTGATCCTCCTGCCTTAGCCTCCCAAGGGCTGGGATTACAGGCATGTGCCACCACACCAAGCTACACTGAATTTTCAGTGAACTGGTTCAGAGTTCAAAGATATCATTCCCTACATGGCACTTTAAAGGAATAAAAGTCATATGTCTCATTCTAACATGTGCATTATAATTTAGCAGTCCCATCTGTATTTTTGCATATTTTAAAAATTATTTTTAAAGAAAAGGTGATTTTCCTTTACAAATGGCATGGCCTGGTAACATGCTCTGTTGCCTCCCCCAGGCACTGTAAATTAAATGCATAGATTAAGTTGGACAAGAGAAATATGTTTAAAAAAACAAAATGCTGGCATATTACAAACAGCCACCATTATCCAACCCTGGTGGAAAAAAGAGTCATTGTGATTACAAGTTACAAACAATGTATGTAAATAAACCTCTTCTAGGAGCAACAGTGGCAAGAAGAACACTTTCATAGGCAAGGTATGGAAGATGATTTCTGAAAAGGAAAAAGAAGGTAGTTTTGTGTCAAAGTAAAATGAATCTTCGTTTCTAAATGAGAAGGATGAAAGTGTAGGAAAAGCCTAAATAAATATAGGAAGTTACAGAAGAGTCACAGAAAGGGAATTTTATGATTATTAAAGCTGGCTAAAGTTTAATGGTTTTATTTAAAAGATTGTCAGAAAGTGTTTTAAAATCAAACATTATACTGATGCAAAACTAGAACTTTACTTTTTCTCTTAAGGTTACAAAATCTTCTTGGATTACTTGCCTGCTTTAGTAAGTGGTTTTAAGAGATTCGTCTTTACCTTGTGAGTAATCTGACTATATACAGCACCAAAGATTTTGTGAAGTTTCTGTGCTTTACGTGGACTTCATCATGCCCTTGCTTATTTAAGGGACCAAGGCCTTCCCACTTTTGAAAGAACCAAAGTTTTCCACAGTTGTGTTACCTCCTCTGCATACTTTTTAAAATCTTTTGTTGTCATTTGGTTAAATAGCCAAGTATTGTTTCCCAGAAGGCCATGACCAACTTAAGTGTTCACACTGCACAATAACTTTTGCTATTTTCCCTTCCCAGCAACAAATCCTAAATGATTCACTGATTTTCCAGAAGGCTCCTGAAAAATTACAAAGAAATTATTCTTTCTTATAAAAAGAGAGGTACTAAAAACAATTAGGTTTCAATATGTTACTACTGATGAATTGCACATGGCACACGTCAAATCAGAACCCTCCCTGGGCTAAATCTGCATATGTAAAATGCTACTAATATAAATATCTCAGAAACTGTATGCTGTATGAGAAGTTCCCAAAGATCTTTTTTAATGTCCTTACAATCCATAGTTTCTATCTTTCTTCCTTTCTCCCCTACCCCCATTCCTTCTTTCTGTGTTACTGGGAGTTGAACCCAGGGCCTTCACACCAAGCTACATCTCTTTAAAAAGAAATTTTAGAATCCAAGTCATTAAGTTCCCCAGGCTGAGCTTGAATTTGTGGTCCTTTTGCCTCAGCCTTCCAGAGTACTGGGATTGCAGGTGTGGACCACACCATGTACAGTTCCAGCCTGACATTTCTTAGGAAAATTTCAGCAGCCAGGCATGGTGATGCATGCTTGTAATCCCAGGACTCGAGAGGCTGAGGCAGGAGGATTCTCATAAGTTTGAGGCCAGCCTGGGCTACACAGTGAGTTCAAGGCCAGCCTGAACTACATAGTGAGACCCTGTCTCAAAAAAAAAAAAAAGAGGAAACTTTCAGCAAAGCAAATTTAAGAAAGACTATATGGTTAATTAAAATGTAGGGGCTGGGGATTTACCTCAGTGGTTCCACCTCCTGCCTCGAAAGTGCAAGGTCCTGAGTCCGATCCCGATACCAAAAAAGAAAAAAAAAAATTAAAATGTGTGTTGCACCTATTTAAATAATCAGGCTAAATATAATTAGATAGGGGCCTAGGATTTAGCTCAGTGGTGCTGAGCCTGACTCGAAAGTGCAAGGTCCTGAGTTCAATCCCTGGTACTGCAAAAAAAAAAAAAAGGAGAGAAAATAATCAGGCTAAATATAATGCTTTATTTTGTGATCAGAGTAATCTTTCTTCTCATTGCTTCTCGGCCTTTTGGCTAAGATCAAGTGAAGAGTAATCTTTCTGGGTTTTTTTTGGTACTGGGGATTGAACTTGGGACCTTGCGCTTGCGAGGCCAGCAGCGGAACCACTGAGCTAAATCCCGACCCCAAAAGTAATCTTTCTTAAGATTATGTTTTATTGAAAGGGAAATAACTGGAAGGATATTTTGTGTTTTAGTGGAAAATTATACCACATCCTTTTAACTCCAGTCCTGAGCCCAATAGTAATACCATATTCTGGCCCTGTTCATTGTCTTTGAATTATGTACACTATTTGTAAATTGCAGGTAATTTATGGATATGAAACTCTAAGGCAGAGATTTAAGTTACATCTTTCTATTCCTCACCCTCCCACACCCCTCTGTGGGAAAACCAGTTTGTGTACCTACTTAGATTTCGTTCTTGCTACCTTGCATAAGTCCTAACACTTACCAAATGTTTAATTCTTCATCTTTCCTTCAATATTTGGCTATATCCCTTTAAATGAAGGTTTCTAAAATTTCTCCCTCCCTCTGACTCAACATCTCCAAGAATAAAAACCAGATCACACAGATCCCTTTCAGACCCTGTGATGGTCACAATCTGAAGAAGCCCTCTGCACTGGACACCAATGACTTCATATGAACCTTGGAAGACCCCAGGACTGACTTGTTTGTCAGCAGCAGAAAATGCATGGATTTCTCTATGAACAAGCCATTAGCAGAGCCAGTAGGAAGTCTGACACAATGCTGGGTTATGTATACCCTTACCCAAGAGGTAACCAAGAGTGTATCACCAAGCATGTCAACCTTTCAACTTCAAGAAACCCAATGAGTTTTACAAAACTCTTGGAATTCACTGGACTAGTTACCTTTAGGTTTAACCCCTGGCACTATTTACTTTAAAGCAGCTTTTCATTGTAGTATTTCCTTTTTTTTCTTTCATTTAGGATCCCTCTTTTAAGATGTCTGATGTTCAGGACTCTAAACCAACTGACCTTTTTCACCATCTCTCAGTAGAAAAGTAGCCCTCTCTCTTTTCATATATACCTGTAGCACCAACAAAAATTTTCATATATCCCTATAGCACCAACAAAAGTCCTCAGGAGACGATTTCTTAGACCCTGCTTGGCCCTGCTCAGATTTATTCTCACCTATGTGTGGTTCCATGAAAAATGGTATTTGTTCATCTTTTACAAAAGGCTGACAATGTTGAAATTTTCCCAAGACTACACTTCTGGAGAACAGCCATAGTTAAGAAATTCCACACCTTTGTGTTCTAGGTGTAGAGAGGAGAGATATCTCCCTCTGCCCCACTTAGTTTGTTTCTTTCTCTCTCTCTCTTTCTTTTTCTTTCTTTCTTTCTTTCTTTTTCTTTCTTTCTTTTTCTTTCTTTCTTTCTCTCTCTCTCTTTCTATTTCCTTCCTTCCTTCCTTCCTTCCTTTCCTTTCTTTCTTTCTCTCTATCTCTTTTTCTTTTCTTTTGAGACAGCTGTTTGGAAAGCAAGACTAGTAAACTCAGGCAAAAAAGACATTAAACATGTGTTTGAGATTCTACAGTTAATAGAGACAGTTTACAAGCTCTAACAGGTTGTAATAGTGCAGCACCCTGCCCTCAATGGGGAAATAATGTTGAAAAAAGAAACCAACTGGCTGGCCGAGCAGCCAAGTTGGTAGTAGAGCTAAAATCCTTCACTGTGATGGGCCTTTTATTGCCTCAGATCAGCTTGTCTGATACCTTATCTAACTACTCCAGAGAAGACTGCAAATGGACAAGGAGCTGCGTTTCACCAAGGGGTCTCCTTTAGGACAGAAGTATAATGCTAAGTGCACAATACTCATACTGGAATTCTTATATGCCCAGTGTTAGGACAAATTCATTGTGCTGCCCCCTATGGTTGAGATGCCACTTTACGGTGGACACAAAAGTATATAACTGGTCCTGGTTTGCACTGTGTCGTAGACTCAGGGACAGGAACCTGCCTCATTTGTGCTTAAAACTATCCAGAGCCAACCTACAGCCTCCAGTGTGGGAACTCACTACTGTTCAGGGGAGAATTCCCTCGTAAGGACTGGAAAATAGACTTCACAAATGCTCCTAGTCTAGGGTAACTTTGGTTACTTACTGGTTTTGGTAGATACATTTTCTTGATGTTCAGAGACCTTCCCCATCCAAACAGAAGGAGGAGCAGAAGTGGCCTGTAAATAATACCAAGGTATGGAGTACCAAACCCATACAGAGGGACAATGGCCCCACTTTTGTCTCACAAGTTGTACAAGTGTCCAAGGCTTTTACTATCAAATGCCAACTTCATTCGGCCTGGAGGCCACAATCAACCAGAAAGACCAAAATGAGAATCAGACCTTTAAAAGGATTATTGTTAAACTGTGTCAAGAAACATACTTGGCATGGGGGTAAGGTTTTTTCTATTACCTTGCTGCAGATACATGTAGCTCCCTTTTCTTGGTCTTTGTGGAGCCGGAGATTTAGCTCAGTGGTGCTGCCGCCTGCCTCAAAAGTGAAAGGTCCTGAGTTCCATCCCTGGTACCAAAAAAAAGAAAGACTTTGTCCTCGTGAAATTTTGTATGGTAGACCATTTCAGACCTCATCCATGGGACAAATGTCAGATCTTGCTATAACAAAGTAGCTTTTGAAAAACTATGCCCAATCTCTGGGTGTTACACTAACCCCATACATGAGTTTGTTTTTAGAAGTCACTGTATCAGATGTTCTACCTCATGACTTATATCCTGGCAACTGAGTGCTCCTGAAGACTTGGAAGGAGAAACCCTAGAAAATCAACTCTCTGTTAGGTGAATGGGGCCATATGTTATCTACTGACTACTCATTCTTCTGTTAAACTGACAGTTGTCTAACCTCAGATATACCATACTTGGAGGCAGGCAGCAACCAACAAAAACCCCCAAGATCTTGACTCTTCTGGTCAACACGGTGGTGGATATTTGTGGGATGAAGAGATGGGGTGGCCTGAGCTGTAAGGAAAGGTGGTTGGCAGTTAAGAAAGGTGAAGTGATTGGTGGTCTATGCATGTGCACACAAACTTCAGAAGACATATGTCTTTTCCTGAAAATAAGACCTAACTGAAAAAGAAGCCCTAGCATAATTTTTCAGGATGCTTGGAATATAAGCCCTACTCCCCAAAATAAGCCCCAGTGAAAATCATCAGCCAGACAGATGCATTTAGCACATTCATTGCAAAACATGATGGATGTACTGAATTATAAAATAATATATAATTAAATATAAATAAATATTATTGATATTAATACTTATGTGATAATATAAATTATAATTAAGTACTTGTAAATACCCAAGTGGGTGCCTTTGGACAAGAGGTAAACACCTACGTAAACAGATGAATTTGAGACTGATTACCAGATGACCATAGTACAGACACAACATATGAATAATGTGTGCACTTGATAATGAGTGGACGTGGTTATATCTAATATAAATCTTCATAATTCAATATGTTGTAACAGATGTAACTAATGCACTCGTATGAAATACAAAAACATTTTCTGAATGTTGGTGTCTGTAATTTTTTGTCACTTTTGTGTGGCCCACCATTTTTTCTTTTTTTTTTTTGAGACAAGGTCTCACTATGTAGTTCAGGTGGGCCTTGCACTCACTATGTCACCTAAGCTGGTCTCGAATTTGTGGTGATCCTCCTGCCTCAGCCTCGTGGGTACTAAGATTACAGGTGTGTGGCGCTATTCCCAATGTGGACCATCATTCTTAACTGTCATCATTTTTGTTTCCACTCCTGTCTCCTAAGTCTTCAATTAATACTTGATTTAATGGACACTGTGAAGCCTCGCCTACAAGAGGTCATGACTGTGGGTGAAGAATTCATGGGATAAAATCACTGACAGCTGTGCTGCCAGTGCACTACAAGCAGGCTACATGGAGAAGAGATGCTCATTTAGGGAGAGCTCTATTGCTGGACATGAGAGATTGGGGCCAGTGGTTCTACAGGAAGTGGAGTCACAAGAAATTCAGGCCGGAATTCTGGGTTTAGAGAGTTACAACGATATTCCAGAAGATGACATGAATATATTTGGATAAATGTAGATTTATATACATGAATAAATGTAGATTTTTGTACATGAATACATGAATAAATGTAGATTGTTGTTGTTATGGCTTGTGTTTAGATGTCCCCCTAAAGCCTCATGCTTTTTTCAGAGGTGGCTGAATTTGGAATGTGTGATGCTGGGATTAAGGGTGTGTGATTACTAAACCACTGCACAGGAGTGATTGGTTTGACACTGCCCTTATCCTGGCAGTCTGGATGGGATAAAAGGGAGAGAAAGGAGGGCTGGGGATTTAGTTCAGTAGTTCTACACCTGCCTTGCAAGCTCAAGGTCCTGAGTTTGATCCCTGGTACTGGAAGAAAAAAAACAAACAGGGAGAAAGATGCTGTTAAGGCCCTTGTTGCTTTTGTTGTCTTCTATTGCCATAAACTGTTGCCCCTCTGCTACCTAGCCTTGGAGCCATCTGATTATGGACTGAAACCTCTATTAATTGTGAGCTAAGTAAACCCTTTTCCCTTTAACTTTTGGTGTTGGGTATTTTGTCTCAGCAACAAGTGAAAAATAACTAATACAGTTGTACATGAAAAAAATAAGGCATCCCCTGAACATAAGCTCTATTGCATCTTTTGGAGAAAAAATTAATATAAAACCCAGTCTTATTTTTGTGGAAATACAGTAGCACTACCTGAGGGTGGAGTTTTTGGCCATCTGAGAGTAAGGGCTCACCAACTGGACACCTGTGCAGGCCAAATGAAGGGGTTGGTGGTTTCAATCAGTTTGAGGTAGACAAGGCTATTGCTAAATCTCTAAAAAACAAAACAACACAAAAACTTAAAACAATTGTTACCAAGGTGACCATATATCAGAAGTGTTATGTAGTAATCACTGTTTAGTTAAGCTACCAAAACCAGTGATTAAAGCCAGTAACTAAGAACAAAGCTAGAGGGATTATTCATCCTTCTCTGAGTTTCAAAAGAAAGAATGTACAGTACTCTTTGATTTTTAAAACTTTAACCAGGGAGAGCCACGCATGGTAGCACATACCTGTAATCCCAGCACCTGGAAGGCTGAGTTAGGAGGACCCCCACAAGTTCGAGGCCAGCCTGGGCGACACAGTGAGTTCAAGGCTAGCTTGAACTACATAGTGAGACCCTGTCTCCAAACAAAACACCTTTAACCAGCGGGGGGGAAAGTGGCTTAAGCCTCTTACAAGAGAAACAAGAAAGCACCCAGTGATGAATGTGACTGTGCTGTACACCTAAAATGTACCAATAAACTTAATGGAAAAAAAAGTGAGTTTGGACCTTGGGTGGGCTTTATCTCTACACTCCTGGGAGTCACTGCTGTGTCAATGGTTAAGCCATAAAAAGTTTATTAGTTTCAAGTCACAAAAGCCTTACTGATTTTGGTTTCTAGTAGCTTGTTAGTTACTTTTTGGGATTAAAATTAGATTTCTAATATTCAGAGCCTTACAGGAGAAATTTCTTCTTTTTTAAAGGATTTTTATTAGTACATGATTGCAGTACATAATGATTACAATTACTGTGGGGAGTTGGTACACGTACATCAAACAACTTGATTTTTTTAAAATTCTGTACCCCTCACCTCCCTTCTTCCAAATCTTGATCCCCTTATTTGCAAAAGTTCTATTTTCATCATTTTTCCCCTTCATCTTCCTTCCCTTCCCTACCTCCCCCTCCATCTCTTGGTCCCTCATCAATTTGAAAAAGATCTGCCTACTTCCTCTTTATCTATCTTCTACTTTGTTCTTTATTTTCATGTAAGAAACGTTTTCGTAAGGCTTCTCTGTTCTAATGGATGCTGCTTCTCCACAACTTCTCAGTTGAGCGGAGCCCTCTCCTTGAACCTCCATGACTATATGCTCTGCTAACTCTACCTTTTTCCTTTTTGTTTGCCCAGTTTTTCTGGGAATAACTTGGACTCCACTGGCTTAAGAAACTCAAATGGAAACAAAGCTTTTGTACATAGGGAGGAGAGGAGGTTTAAGGGGAGAATGGGATAAAATAAAGTTTATTTAAAAAATTAAAATTGTGGTAAAATATCCAAAAAAAAAAAAAAAAGAGAGAGGGCCGGGGATTTAGCTCAGTGGTTCCGCCCCCTGCCTCACAAGAGCAAGGTCCTGAGTTCGATCCCCGGTACCAAAAAAAAAAAAAAAAAGAGAAAAAAACTCAAGAGGCAAGCATGGTAGTACATGCCTGTAATCCCAGCACTCAGGAGGGTGAGGCAGGAGGATTGCTGTAAATTCAAGGCTAGGCTGAACTACATAGCAAGACCCTGTCATCAAAAAACCAAAAATTAACAACAACAACAAAAAGGAACTCAAGATTTCAAACTACCTCTTCTACAACTTCTTCCTTCCCATGGCTTCTGCTCCTTTCTCCTTTTGCTATTTTTGATGTTCCATCCGGTTCCCTTGAGTTCTTGATATGGCTCCTTTTATTCCCTTAACTCTTACATCCTTGTGTCCACCCCAGTCAGACCTTTTCCCTTACTACTCTAGCCCCTCAGTCACTACTTTTATTCTTCCACCAAAGGGACCCATTATCCCTCCCTCCTCTCCTGACAGCAACTATCTGAAAAAGAAGCTGAAAAAAAAAAGACTAACTGAAAATAGACTGAATATTTTATATACTCAAGATGGCCTTCGTAGACATCTGGATACTACTAGATGTTTCCTGAGTCATTCACTTAAAATTTAGCCCACATCTTCCATAAGATTGATCTCTGGTAACAGGCAGATACACTCCCCCAAAACTCTTTTTGGAGAAAACTTAAATTCTTTCTCTGTGTCTTAGAGATATAAGTTTTCTATACTATCTATCCAGGCATAGTGGGACACATCTGGAACCCTAGCATTTGAGGTTGAAGCAGGAAGATGGGCTGAGTTTAAGGCAAGGCTGAACTATGGTAGCGAGATCCTGTTTCAAACCTCCCTCCTATTTTTTTCCTATACTATCTTCTCTAGGATCTGACTGCTATATATTTGAAATATAAAGTTTGGGGAGGTGACTCTCATCAGAAAGCAGGAAGAGAGACAGAGAGAGAGGGAGAGAGGAAAGGAGGGAGAGAGAAGGAGGAAGGGAGGGAGAGGGAGAGGGAAAGGGAAAGGGAGGGGGGGGAGAGAGAGAGAGAGAGAGAAAGAGAGCGAGTGAGCATGAGCACTGGCTGGGAAAGGAGGCATGACAAAATCCTGGAACACATGTGCAGAAGAGTCCCAAAGCCCTGCATGTGGACTTCTTGTGAGAACAGGAGCAGGTTTTCCATAGGATGGCCTAGACTTGATATCAACCCAGGGAGTGGGTGATACAAAAAGGACAGTTCACACTGAGTTTTGGCCACTGTGTTCTCTATCGCATGGTGACCCACCCTCATGCTGTAGGGTGTACTTCTTTTCTTACTTTTACTTGACCCAAACTCACTTTGCAGAGCCTGTTTCTTTTCCTACCTTTAAAAAAATCGCTACCATCTGTGCTTGTCTTGACTAATTCTTTGAGAACCTAGAAACCACCTCCAGAAGGAGACTGCAGCACCCCAAAACCTGGTTACAAGAGAGGAGAGGGAGAGGGAGAAAGTGCTCACACATGAGTACTATGTATTTAATAATAGATTGGGTAAACAAAGGTCTTTAATATTTCCCACTAATATTAGCAAAAGGCTTTAACCTTTTGAGTAACCATGTCTATTTGCCAGAAACAGAATTTGGACCCAGCTAATCTTTTACAAACTAGTGAGTTTTGTATTCTTGTGTCTGATACACAGCAAAAATTTAAAAAATGATAGCTAAATGATCTGTTTGCATCTATATGCAATAAAAATATATGTACCATATTTTCCCACAATCTGTTTTTTGGGGTATTCACTTTTTCTTTCCTGTGATATCCCTGTACATGTAATTAATTTCTACATCTTTTTTTCCTGAGAATCTGCCAGTTGTCAGTTTATTTAATTGAGTCACTGTGGACTTCTCAGATGATGCAAGGAAAATCTTCTTCTCCCTACAATTGTGTGGATCAGTTTAACTTCTGAGGCTAAGATCTCTTTATTCCAGATTTTGCATTTTGAACCACAATGACCTGAGTACCACTTAAGGGGAAATGAAGAGGGAAATCCTTGCATAATCCATATTTATAACCATTTATATGTAAATCTTTATATCATGAATATGAAAATAATGCTTGACCTGAAATTTTTTTTTTTGCATTTATTCAAAAACACATTTTTCTAGAAAGGACACTCAAGAGTAATTTGTGACAATTTCCAGGAGAAAACAGAAAACAATAATCACAAACAACAATCCTTCAAACATACACAGGATCTTTTTCTTCTCTCTTAACACCAAGTAGAAAGTGATGTTAACTTAATTCTCCCTTTATAATTTGTTTGCTAGAGTTTAATGGCAGTCTTAAGAATTTTCCAGGAAAAAGGGATCAAGTTCATTGATCTCCCTTCCTAGCAGTAAAGCGTCATAGTTCAAGTAGGGTCAGGTTTCCTATTTTCAAAGAATTCTTTTGCCACATGTGCCCTGCATGTCTGTGATAAACAGTGTCGCTCTACGTATCTGGTCCGTGGTTCTGCAAACTTTGAAGAATAAAGTTGTGAACAAAAGGAGGAGGGTAGGAGAGTTTTTAACTGAACACAAGAGGAAGAATAGTTCCTGGATTTCTAGGAGGAGTCCTGAGTGGGCTGCTGCGTGACCCTCAATCTAGAGACTGTCAGGCCTCCCCTAAATCTACAGGAAAAAATAAACAGGCTGCTTTTAGCAAATATCAGCAGCTTCCCAGCAAGTAGGGCAAATGGACTCCCAACTGTGATTTACAACCCCCTGCAGAAGTACAGTACAGTAATTGTATACACACCTGAGCAGGCTGTCCAGACTGTCCTTGGGCATTTAAGTCATAAATATGTCACCTTAGATTCCTTAGCCCCTTCAATGCCTATATAAGCCTAATTCCTTTCCCAGTTAATTGCTGATCATCTTTCTCCTAGTGTTAGCCTATCCTTTCAGGGATGAAATGTTTCCCAGCTAGCTGCTAGAATCTCCTGATTCTAGTCCCTGTTCACTGGGATAAACTTCTTTTTCTCAGAACGAAGAACCTGGGTTTTTTTTGTTAACAAGTGGATTCTTTGTAACAGAGTCCCTTATAGGTAATCAGGGTGCAGGAATTGCTTGATCACTTAGTGGGCATCTATCAAGGGAGGTTCTGTGATGTTGAAAATATGGCCCATTGGAAGTAAGACTTTCTAACCCCGTTCTTTCAGTGTTTACAGTACACGGGATCTTAGAAAGAAACTGGTTATTTTGCATTATAATTTCCTCAGAACTCAGGAACTTAATAGGGGGTGGTTGGACCTCTAGTGGGCTGCATTCCACATTACCTAGGAAGTCCACTGTATTTTAAATTCTTCAAAACTCAGCAGTTTTGTAGGGGGTGACCACACCTCCCTTTAGCAGGGAGGAGCTGTACTGCATGTTGTCTGAGGAAGTCCGTTCTAGCTCCAAAGTCCTAGTTCACTATTCTTCCTTAGATTCCCATTAGTTTGGCAGACTACCCAGCTGTATCTCAGCCCTTCATCCAGTAGCTGCCTTACTCATAAGCTAACTAAACTGTTTTCTACAATAAGAGACATTCTCTTCCAAGACTGGCTGTGAATAAAAACAGGAGAAACAACTGATAAGGGTCAACAAAATGCTTAGAGATTTTATCAACCCTGTCCCTCAATACTGGAGACTGACAGGGCTTTCATGCGGAACTACATCCCCAGCATCCACATCTTTTAATGTTTTGAGACAGGGTCTTGTTAAATTGCTCAACTACCAGGCTGGACTCAAACTTATGATCCTCTTGTCTCAGTCTCCCAGAGGGCTGGCATTATAGGTGTGCACCACCATGCCTAGCCAGCATTTTAAAAAGTCTTGAGAACACAGAGCTGGACTTTCAATCTCTACAACCTAAATATTCTGCAATGAGGAAATGCCTTTCATCTGTTTACTTAATTTTTTATCCACCCATAACTATAGGAAATAATCAGACAGTCTTATCTTCTTGACTCAAATTTAGTACTCAAATACCTCACCTCTTCATAGCAGGCAGTATTTAAAGAGGCTTTATGCTGAAGTTCCTCTTCATCCCATATTATGATTAAATTTAGATTAAAATCTTTACTAGATGGAAAAGAAAAATAACTCAATTTTCCATGAATTAAAACTTCAGAATTATCTATTACTGAAATAATAGGTATTAATTTTGAGGTTTTGGTTTTGATTTCTTATCTATTAAGACCCATGGAGCAACTTACTGACAGATTGATGACAACTGAAAAACTATTATGAAATCATTAATGGAAATGTAAAAATTTTATAATTTCAGAACTAATTTTTCATAGCATAATTGGAACTCTCTCATACTGAATCATCTCACTTCTTTCAGAACCAGTTATCTCAACTCAGAGGGAAATACCATCAATCCCATAAGACTATGGGGAAATGTGACTGGAAATATCTTGGAAAGACTATATGGAAAGAAGACAGAACAAAAATAATTATGATCAATATTGGTTGGGAAACAAAATTTCACCTTCCTTCATGTAAGATACTACATTGAGATTGTAAGCGATACAGATAAATAAAAATAAAATCTCACCTAAAGAAATGAATAATTGAGCCAGAACTGGTGGCAGATGCCTTTAATCCCAGAAATTGAGGAGGGTGAGGCAGGAAAGTGCAAGGAAAGTTGCAAGTTGGGTAGTTAAGTGACTTAGTGAAACCCTGTCTCAAAAAATAAAAAAAAAAGGGCTAAGTATGTAGCTCAGTGTGAAGGCCCTGGGTTCAATTCCCAATATCATATCACAAACAAGCAACAGAGTTCCATTTCTGAGGAAAAAATTCTCTCTTAAATTATAATTAATAATAGTATTAAACTTATCAAAAAGTAAATTAATTATAAAATTTAGCTCCAAAATGGATGTCCTGATTACAGCTGGTCAAACCCCTAATTACACTAACAGTGTGGCTCCACTGGAGAGGAACTGTGGAAGCTGCACTCGCCAGAGCAGCCAGGTGTGTCTGAGACCTGAGCCAGCTGAGGATGTGCTACCTTCTGAGGGCCCTACCTTCTAAAGCAGCAGGCATGAGGCCTCAGGCCTGGGAGAGAGAATAAAAGATCTGTTTAGCTGTGAAGAGAATATTAATTCCATTGTGTTTGTTTCAGTCATTGTTTTGTTCAGTTGAAGGGCCTGATAAAAGAAAATTTGGTCTTTCATTTGTTGAGCATGAGCTATATTCCAGGCTTGAACATATAAGGGTGAACAAGAAAGATCATGTACTCAGGGAGCTCTCTTCTAGTAAGGAAAGCCCCAAGCCCTTATTATAACTCTCAAAAGACATTATGCAATACAGTATATGCATTAGACACACACACAAAAAACTCTGAAACACACAAACATCATTTAACAATTCAATAAATGTAAAAATGTTTCACTTTCAAAATCGGGACAAAGACATATTTTAATATTTTGAACATCAACTATAAAACTTATGAAATACCGCAATTTACTTCACTTATCTTGAAATATCAAGATTTACAGAATATATGTATTTAAATATTCTTTAAAGAGTATTTAGGCCATGCATGGTGGCAAGTGTCTGTAGCCCCAGTTCTTTGGTAGGCTATGTTAGAAGGACTGCTTCAGCCTCGGAGTTTGAGACTACCCTGGCAGCATAGTGAGGGCTTGTCTCAAAAACAAACAAGAATATTCTAATGGGATTACAGAAAAGAGATGGCTCTACCTATGGGCGGAGGACAGAATGCCTAGTTTTGTTAAAAGCAATTGGTGAAGAAAGGAGAAAGGCAAGGAATTTGTATAGGATCTCTGGGTGATGCCTCACCAGCCAAGGAAGGAGAAATTTGTGATACTGAAATGGAAGTGTAACATCTAAGGAAATATTCAACTGGTTAATTCACAATAATTACTCTTTCCTCCGAAGTTTCAGCCTGATCATGTATTTTATTGAACTTTTCAAATAAATGAAATTCTAACTGTACAATGGAAAGCCAGGGGGAAAAGAAAATTTGCTCTTTCAAAATGTATTTTATTTGTACTATTCTATTATTATGAGATTTTAAAAAAGATACTGGATAAACTGGTGCTAATCTGAAGGCTTTATAAAGCATGCCTGAATAAAAGTAAGACTATCAAGAGCCCCAGGCATAGGTCTTGAATTCCTGCAAGGCAATGCAATGCAAGTGAGAGAGAACAAAGGACACAGAAACAAGACTTAAAGAGAAAGCTGGTCTGGGATAGTCTGAGCTGTTCTGGGCAACAAAGACAAAAGGCACCCAAGACTTCCAGTATTTACTGATAACAAGCGTGGGAATAAGTAGAGCGAGGTATATGTGAGACATATGATTATGTGTGAGGCATCTGGCTTCAGTGGTTGTTGCAGGCAAGGCTGTAAGATAGGTCCTGCTTTCTTGCAGGAGAGAACAAACGGAGACTAGGACTGGGTCATAACCTGAAACCCATCAGGTCAGTGGGGGAAACCATAATTCAGGGAAAGGAATTTAATTGGGGTCATGCTGACCTCAGGTGGAAGTTAACTCAGCAGTTAACTCAGCAGTTAACTTCCTGCCACTTCACAAACCAGGACTTAGGTCTCTGTGGCAGCCATTGGTAGAGGAGCTCTGCTCACCCAACTCTGCCATTTGACATGCCCAGGTGAGTCACATAAGGCTTTGGTCAGACTCCTAATATAATACAGCCGAATTATGGGGAAAGACGCTTGTGCTACTTAGAATGTGCTAGTAAATTGGGCAGGGGTGTCTACTACATAAGACAACTTTAATAAAAGAAATATTGAAAGAGTGGTAGTTTTTGCTCCATATTCCAGGAATATCTAGATGAGTTTTCTAGATTTGTGAAATTTTGGATTCAGGATCTCTATAAATATCAGGTTTGCACTAAAAGAAAATGTTAATTATTACCTATTCCCCATTTAGGTTAGAAACAACTCAGTTGAAAAAAGAGGCAAATTTATAATTTCATTAAAAAATTTTGGGGGGAGGGGAGGCAGGGTCTTGCTAAGTATTCTAGGCTGCCTTGAACTCACTACGCAGCCCATACACTCTGGAGAGTGCTTGGTTGGACTGCACTCCAGGGAGGGGTTGAATGTTTGACCCTGGGACTCATGGAGGGCTTCAATTCAGGGATCCCAGTGTTTTGTTCACAGTGACTGGGTGAGAGACAGCCATGGGAGACAGGCGTGGTCAGGGAGCCATGGTCAGACTGGCAAGATACCTCCTAGGGGTTTCAACTAAAGGATACAAGCCTGACCCCATGGCCAGAGGCTAGGCTCAGCCTGCATTTCTGGATTTGAAAGTCACAGAATTGGTGCCCTCACTGTGATCCTTCCACCTGCTGGTGCCTGCATCCAGCACAGACGGGGGCCTTCTTTATACACCAGCACGAGCAGTGACATGTCTGGAGGTGGACACTGCCCCAGAACTGTAAGTTCCAGAAGAAAACCACATTTTCAAAATCACAAATTTTTTTGGTTTTTTTCTTTTTTTGGGTGTGTTTTGTTTCCTTGTTTTTGTTTTTTGGTGAGCATGTTTTTTGCTTTGTTTTTTGCTCTTCTTTCCTTTCCTTCTTTCTTCTTCAACAGTTTACTGGGGTGTGGGAAATTTTCCTTTGTCCTGCCTTGCTGCTTATCACTTTTCATTCTTTTTCTTTAATTTTTCTCTTCTTCCTTTAATTTTTTCTATTTTTACTCTCTTTATAATTTTGTTCTTTTTTCTTTTATTTTTCATCAGTTTTTTTCTTACCTTTATCTAATTGTATAAAAATTCTTCTATGCCCCAATAAGATCCTTTGTACCATTTCTCTCTCCTCCTTTTTTAATATCATAGAGTTTAAAGTTTCAGAGTGTTCCTTACATTTCCCCATCCTAAATTCTTTATCTTTAATAATATGACCATAAAATTTTGTTAATATCTTGATAATTAACTCTGTAAAATTACTGTTGAATTCTTTTCTACTATTAGCAGAGATACAGCTGTTGCATTTTGTACATACTAGCTGTAAGTCAATACCTAGGTTTTCTTAATGTTTACACCATAATTGAAGATTTATTCTCTAGGATTAAGGATGGTATATAACTGGTTCTTATGGTATGATAGCATTCAATGTGTCTTGGATGGTAATACTGTAGCTTGATATCAAAAGGGTCACATAATTGTTGCTATTTCTCTGCAAGCCAACACTCAAATTACCTTTGTGACATTAACAATACTAGAGTACATTCCCAGAGAATTTGGTTGTTGGGCTAACTACACTGGATCCTACCCTCACAAATTAACCAAGGTGGTCAGATCTTGGGGCTGTGGCAAAGGATTATAGTTAGCCATGCCCAAAATACATCACTGAAAAGGAACTAAAGGGGTCTCTGTACTAGCAACAAAGTCTTTAGACTGTAAGTACAATGGACCCTTGACTTATGAACTCAAATTGTTCACAAGGGCTGGTTATAACTCAAGTTGGTCAACTGAAGACTCAGGCTCCTCTACATTTCACAAACCACTAGCCTTCAAAGTCTCTCTCCTGTATACAGGAATATCTCAGTGTCCTTAGAGACATTAGCCCAGGATTTCTCAATTAACCCCACACAGAAAAAGATGTAATGTTCCTTCCAGAACTCTTTAAGGGTTAAATCTGTATCTAAGACCTTCTGGAAGCCCAAATGACTGGTTATCTTGGTTGTAACTCAAGACTTTGGTCATAAGTTAAAAACTAAAATTCCAGTCATAACCCACATTGTTCGAATGTCAGGCTGATTGTAACTTGAGGATCCACTGTATCTACAAACCTCAGGACAAAACAAGACAAACAAACAAAACAATAGAAGCATAAGAAGAAACAAAATGCCTCCCAAAACTCTTAACTTTCCTGAAGCCAATCCAGGGGAGACCAAGGGGCAGTGCATCATCTGAGTAAGTCCAAAGGATAACAGAGGAGGTTTGAAAGCACATCAAAAAGATGCCCCTTTCAGAAAACACTAATAAAAAGCTAAATGAGCTAAACAAAGTGATACAAAACATGAACGAGCAGTTTACCAAAGAACTAGAAATTTTAATTGGAAATCCGAGATTAAAAAGTATACTGAAAGTATGGGCAGCAGAATTGATCAACGTGAGAACAGAATTTCAGAACTAGAAGGTAATGATACCTTCAGAGACCAAGTACACAGAGACACCTTAAAAACAAGAGAGTATGAAAAATGGATCCAACAGATTCTAGATGATGCAAAGAAGACTAACTGGAAAATCAGAAGACAACACAAATGGCATTAAAGGGCCGGGGATTCAGCTCAGTGGTGCTGCCTCGAAAGCGCAAGGACCTGAGTTCAATCCCCAGTACCAAAAAAAGGACACAAATGGCATTAAAAAAGAAACCTATTCATAGAATAATAGCAGAAAATTCCCCACATACAGGGAAAGATAATTGAGGCAAATAGAACCCCAAACATTTATGATAAAAGAGAACCTTTCTATGTCCCATTATACTCAAAGTATCAACTAAAATTATTTCCAGTTATTGATAAATATCTCCAGAGGTACAAGACTCCAGTGGTTGAGAAATATCGTTCTTGTACAATAATCCTATCTTTTATAAGTGTTTTTCTTGAGACAAGGTCTTGCTTTGTAGTTCAGGATGGCCTTGAGCTTGCTATGTAGTTCAGGCTGGCCTCAAAATCTCAGTGATCCTCCTGGCTCAGGCTTCTGAATGTTGGGATTATAGGTGTGTACCACAATGCCTGGCATAACTGCTATTTTTAAACTGTTTTCCCCTCCTGGTATTGGGGATTGAACACAGGGCTTCTGCCCTAAGCTATATCCCCAGTCCTGTAAAAAAAAATTTTTTTTTTGAGACAGAGTCTCACTCAATTGTCCAGGCTGGGCTTGATTTCATGATCCTCCTGCCTCAGTCTCCAAAAGTCCTGGGATTACAGGCATATACTACCATACCTGGCTTCAATTTGGCATTTTTAGGGAGTATATTTTATTTTATCTTCACAGGATCCTTGTGAATATTTCCTGAGATATAATATTTATTCCCGTATCTCAAGATTCTGGGTATGATACACATTTAATGTGTCAGTCAGCTTTTTGTTGCTGTGACAAAATGCCTGACATAAACAGTTTAGAGTAGGATTTATTTAGGCTCAAAGTTTCAGAGGATTCAGTCCATGGGTGGCCTGGCTCCACTGCTTTTAGGCCTGTGAAGAGGTAGAAACATCGTGGCAAAAGGACATAGCCGAGGAAAGCTGCTCACCCCACGGCAGCCAGGAAGCACAAAGGGAAAGAGCTGGTGACAAGACATACCAGTGATCTACTTCCTCCAGCTAGGGCCCACTTTCTAACAGCCTATTCAGCTAAGGGCCCTCACTTGTCGTATTGCTGCATTGGGGGTCCAGCCTCCAACAAAAGAGCCCTGCTTGGCTCCTATCATACCTGAACTCATTCTGTCCCTGGACCCCAAAGGCTTTTTTTTGTCTACAAAAGTTTTGTGAGGGATGGGGGGATTTTAATACCCACTGTGAGGTATTAAGAGGATAGAAAATTAATCCCACTAGTGTTTAGAGGTAGGGTTTTGGGAGGTGAGTAGGATGGAGCTCCCATTATTAAAGCCTAGAGGTTTTGTAAGGAGGAGACAAGACAGACACAACTACACATGCACCTCCTGCCTCTTGCCATATGATGCCATGTGATGCCTTAGGGCTCTGCCAGCAAGAAAGCCAGCATCTGATGGGAGCCCCTGTACCTCCAAAAGCATAAGCTAAGAGAAACTTCTTTTCTTTATAGTTATTTCATCACAGTAATTAAAAACAGATTAATGCCATGACTCATTTTTGGCTTTTTTGTCCTCGTTCCTCGCTGCCTCCTGTGCTGCTTCATGTTCTCTCTCTGTACACCTTGTTGCCATATCTTGACAAGTTGAGGAAATCAAGGCCTTTCTACTCACAGCCAGGTAAAGGGATGCCAAATCTGTCAAGATTAAAACAAACAAACAAAAAAAGAATAATGGGAAGCTTAAAGTTTGATGCAGCATTGGGGATTTAGCTCAGTGGTGCTGCCACCTGCCTCACAAGCGCAAGGTCCCAAGTTCGATCCCCAGTACCAAAAAAAAAAAGTTTGATGCAGCATATAGCTTTATACCTTGATCACAGATAAAATTTTAGGAAAAAAATTGTAACCCAAATGACAAAGTATCAGTACTATTTTTATAATTTAAGGGTCACATAAACAGAAACAAGACAAAACAAAAAACACCTAAGCAAATGTCTTTGTTTCTTCTTTTGTCGAGATGGTCTCGCTATATGTATATCCAGGCTGGCCTTGGCCTGGCTATCCTCCTTCCTTAGCCTCCTGAATGCTAGGATTATATTCATGTACCATCACACCTGGCTATGTTCTTAATTTAAAACTGTTAGGTACAGATTTCAGTTTTTAGGTTAATAGCTTTTATCTGAAGATAAAGATATATATCTGCAGTTAAAAATAAAGCAACACTAAGGCAAAAACTAACTGGATCAACCTTGGTCATTAGATGTTATCTTACATACATATATATTATTCAGTAATACAGTTAAAAGTGAAAAAATAGCTGCATGTGGTGGTGCATGCCTAAAAACTCGGCACTCGGGAGGCTGAGGCAGGAGGATCACAAGTTCAAGGCCAGTCTTGGCCACATAGTGAGTTTAAGGCAGACTGAACTACAAAGTAAGACCCTGTCTCAACAAACAAACAAACAGAGAAACAAGCAAATAAACAAACAAATAAAAACAAAAAAAATGAAAACATATTTTTGGCTACTTTAGGAGGCACAAATAAACATTGTGTCCATTCTAACCAGTAGTTTTTGCCTTAAGTAAACTGATGAAAGAAAGGTAAGCAAGCAACAGAAGGGAGTGTACAGTTGCTAACAGATCTATTTATACAACAGTTTATTTTGCTCCTAATTTTGACTAATTAAGTATATTACCACATAGCCTGAAATTCTTCCTCCTCTTTCTACCTCTACTCATCATGGAAAAAGTCAGCATCTGAAATAAGCAAGCACTGAATACATGGCAAATTAACTGGTAAATGATGAGATGAGGGCATAACATGGTCCTTTAGAGAAGATTTTTATTTTTTTTTGACACAGACATATAAACGACATCTGCTCACTAGATAAAACAATTTAAGACACATCAGAAATGCATTATAATTCACATGTTACAATATTTATAAACATACAGGTCTCATGTTCCTCAGTTATCTTTGCGAACACTTACTAAAATATCACAGCCTACTGGTTAAACTAGCAAGTTTACCGCTCATTTTGAAAAGCAGAATTGATTTAGATTAGTAATAAACCAAGGCACAGACCATTGTTGAAATGTAATATAATAAAAAAACACCTTGTCATCAGCACTCGGGAGTGAAGCATTCTACCTCAACATTCTTTAGTCAAATGGCATTTACCTTTCTAAAGTCTAAACTGTTACTTTAACTACTGGTGATAGAATAATGTATAACATGCCTTCTTAAACTTTAAAATAGACCATGCAGATTATAATAATGTTCTTTCATCAATATTCTTTGTTAGGAGCACAATATCCTAAAGATTTACCAAGGTGGGTGGGTATTTGACCTATTGTAAATAACCTAATATGGCTATTATTTTTAAAATTATCAACTCATTTATTTTGTCACATTTAACTGTCAGCTATTATTTCTTGATTTGGTTAAATATGTTTTCTGTTATTTATTTATTTCTTGTTTTGTACTGGGAATTGAACTCAGGACCTCGTGCTTACCTCGTGCCGCTGAGCTACATCCCTGGCTCTCTGTTATTTTTCTTACCCCTGTAATATAAAAGTTAGGGGAGAGCAATATAACTACATAAACCTTTGATGAAATAACAGTTCCTTCAAGAAAGGTCATTCCTTTTACTGGCAAAGGTTAGGAGAGGTTATATATTGATAAAGGAAGGATCTGAAGAAGGAAGAGCAATCTGGAAATCTGTTTCCAGATGTCTGTCAGATTACTACCACAACTGTCCTTGAATCTGCAAGACTTAATCTGCCCTAGGTTGGGAATCCATGAAACTAAGATAAAACTACTTATAAAGCAGGGTCTGCTTTGAATAAGGGCAGGCAGCTAATTTTAAAGTAAATTGCAGGAACTCTGAAGCATGAATATTTGAAATTAGATGTATTTATAAATTTTTGGCACACAGGAGTTTTAGTTTGCATATTTTTCTTTATTTCTCAGTCACAATGGAGGTATGTGATCTCTGAGAAAAGTGGTACTATATCATTACCTCATTAATTATATATATTAATATATATTATATATGTAATCTCCCCCTGAATAATTAAATAGTATGTATGTATTTTACTTATTTTATGATACTGAGGAATGAATCCAGGGCCTTATGCATGCTAGATAAGCACTCTACCACTGAACTACTTACCCGACCCTTTTAATGTTATTTCTGAGACAGGGTCTCACTAATCAAACCTGTGATCCTCCTGCCTCAGCCTTAGAAGTACGTGGGATTAAAGGAATGTGCCCCATGCTGGTGTAATGAAAGAATTTTTACAACTACTTTCCATTTTACAACTACCTTCCAAAAGAAGTTATAATGATCTTATTTGCTTTCTTGAGAAAAAGAGTAAAAACAATTCCAAGAAAAAAGTACTATTAAAAAAAAGTCAACTCAGAAATGTTAATAATCTTTTTCCTTTTATCATTTTTCAGATTTAAGGTATCCTAACATACTTTGCAAATTATTTTGTTGAATTAAAAATAACTACAGAATTCATATCTGTAACATTATTACATTAAGATTGTTCTCAACACTGAACTTGTCAATGTAGGTTTTTGTTAACAGAAAATCAGTATCTACATGAGTAGATTCTTGCATACCAAATAAAGTTAGTTATCAAGTTTTAGAAAATTAATAAAACATATTTTTTCTTTAAAGTTCTCAAAGTAACCAACAATTTCCATTTTGAAAATGCAAACAATCTCACAATAGGAAATTGTAACTCAACATTGATTTTACAAAATTGTTTTTAAGAAATAAATTTCATAATGCTATATTCCCTCCATATATTTTATAAAATCATTAGCACAAATAAATTATGTTAAATATACTGTTTGCATTCAGTCTCTTAAAAACATATTAATATATCAGAGAACAAAATAAAAACACATTCCAAATGTCTGTATTCCATTTGTGAGCATGAGCATATATTCTAGGTGGAAACTTCTTTCATTCTATATTTAAGAAATATTTATAAAATATGTATTGACTATATTGTGCAAGGTATTAAGAATGCTATAATGAATGATGAGAACCACAATGCATTCAATATGTATCGATCCTGAAGATAATACATACCACAATTTAAAGTTCCTTTTCCATTTTTCCATTTTCCTATTTTACTTTCACTCATGTGCAAGTTGAAGGCTACATAGTTTTTCTTTTTGTAACTCTGAGATTTTCACACATTTGAAGAACACTTACTAAAAAGAAAAAATTCCATTGGTAATGATAATTTTTCTTTCTGATTCAAATTATAAGCTATCTTTGTACATTAAAAAAGAAAGAGAGGGCTAGGGATATAGTTCAGTGATATAGCACTCGCCTAGCATGCACAGTCCTGGGTTTGAATCCCAGCACTGCAACAAACACAAACAAAAAACAGAAAGGAAAAAAAATCAATGCTTTTAACAGTATTACTTAATTGGGCATCAGTATTATATAAACACAATTTCTGAAATGACTTCAGCCTGTGCATATAAGGCATTTACATTATACTATCACCTTGTATTCCATAATATAAATGGTTGCATACTTATTAAATTAATAGTTATGAATCAACTACAAATCATAAAGTGTTTCAAGAACAGTAGCAATTGACCAGGCTTGTGTCTCACAGCTGAAAGGACAGCATTGGCCATTTTCATTGGTCAGTTCTGGAAGACCTTTCCAATGGGATCTGAGAAAAAAAAGAGAGGAAGGACGTTTTATAAGACATAGTTCAACACATGCTAATAAAATAGGCACAACCTGGTGATTTTTGCCTTGTAGTAAAGAAAGCAATTATAGCTATTTGTTATAAAATAAAACAAATATTCAAGATGCACATATGGGGCCAGGGATTTAGCTCAGTGGTGCTGCCGCCTGCTTTGTAAGCACAAGGTCCAGAGTTCAATCACCAGTGCCAAAAAAAAAAAAAAAAAAAAAAGATGCACATATGTACAAAGAATTTAGGTGGGAAGTTATTCTTTGATATTTCATATCTGGGATTTAAAATCTTAAAATACAAAGAAATCCCTTTATGTATTAAACATACAGAAAAAAATGCCAACTATATATATATTCACATATATATATATACACACATATATATATACACATATATACACACATATATATATATACACACATATATATATACACATAAAAATATCCTCAGACATAATTTATTCTTTCAAATTAAGTTTATAAAACTCAAATTGTAATTATGTGTGTGATCTCCATACAAATATAAAACTAAATGAATAAACACTAAGAATTATAACTAGGAAAAGTACCAATTTATTTCTCATTCTATTGAATAATAAACTTATTTATCATGTACTTATGCTCTACTACTTAGTACTTTATACAGACGCTCTTCGTTTAATGACCAGATATGTTCTTGGGACTAGGTTGCTGAATGAATTGGTCGCTGAGAAATTGTATATACTATGTACAATATTCAGAAGAAAGAAATGGTCAAAGGAAACTTCAACTTGATGACTTT